GGTTCACTGTATATATTAATTATAAATTATAAATTATACAAATTATAAATTATAAAATATATAATTATAATATTTAATAATAAAATATAATATTTTTTAAAATTTTATATAAAATATATAAGTTATATAATATTAATAATATACTAGTTTTAAAGATATATCTAGTCTTACTATTAACAAATAAACAATATTGGATTTGATAATAATAATTATATTGAACTTTTAAAGAAAATAAACTATCTGTTTTTTTTCTATAAAATTATAGAAAAGGAAAAAATTTTAAAGCTCATATTTTGAAAAAAGTTATCAACTCTTAATAAGATTCTTGAGAAAGTAAATCAACTGGCCAGAGAGTAATATTATAAATAGTAAAGTTTATAAAAAAAAGAGGCCTAAGAAGAAAAATCTTCAAAAAAAAAAACCTATAATTTCAGCAAGAAAAAAGAATAAAAGAAAGAGTATTGAGTATAAAAAAGTATATAGAAGAGAGGAAAGAAGATAAAAAAGAAGAAATAAAAGAATATAGAAAAGAAAAAACAAAAAACAAAAGAAAACAAAAAAGTCAAATAACTTAAAAAATTTTCTAAAAAGAATATATTTAATTTTATATATTTTTTAATTTAATATTTATCAATAATAATACAATTTTAATTTTTTTAAAAATTCTTTTAAAAAATTTTAAATATTAAAAAATTTTATTGCTTATAATATCAAAGCTATTTGTAAAAAAAAAAAACTCTTACCCATTCACCACTGATTTCTTGAAAATTTTCTTTTATAGTAATTTTCTTGAAAGAAACACTTTTCTCTCTCTCTTCAATATGCCAACTATGCCATAAGCTCAAGGACATAAGGACTTTAAGGACCACTGTTGCATCAGAATGAGACCTCTGGTCAAAGGTCAAGCAAGTTTGGGAGTCTTGTTTGTTCTTTGGTTGCATGGGAAAGGCTCGTGGCAGTCCTCCTTCTTAATTTTGTCTTTATGCACCTCCTCCTTTATTATTATCATAATAATCATCCCCCTCATTATTCTTAACATCACAGATTTCTTTCTAAAAATACATTCAAGTAGAGTTTTGGGTTTTCTTACTTGTCTCAACTAAATCCTTCTAAATAACTTAAACACAATACACTTTATTGTGCCACTGCAACGACATCAAAAATTTTCACAAAATCAAAAACCAAAACCAGCTCAACCCTTTCAAATGATCTACACAATTCCAACGGCCAATCCAATTCTGATATTCCAATCAAACAAGAATCAAACTGGTATTAACCTGTTAAGAATGACAACAACAATAATATCATACAAAGACACATTAAAAACTTATCAAATTGAGACAAATCTCCTGAAAATTTTCCATATTATTAAAAAAAATATTTCCACCAGCCATAACTTAGCTGTTTATGAACAGGTATAAGCCATTCATGAACCACTTCTACTGTGGTTTCATTTATGTGGTGTTTTTATCATTTTAGAAGTTTTTTATGCAATGGCTAGTGTTAACTTAAATGAACGCTTAATGTAATGACAGGATTATTAATTAATTAATAAAGTTTTGCATTTTATGCTTGTTTGCAGTAAAAAAAAAAAAAAAAAAAATATCAAAGCTATTTGTAATAATAGTTATTTTACTTTTTCTTATTTTTTCTTATTTTCTTTTTGAATTTAATATTTTTAAACTTTTTTGTTTCTTTTTAATTTTTTAGAATAACTATAACAAATAAAAAAAGTTTGTTAATTATTATTACAATAATATAATTAATCAATTTACAATAGATACTTTATTAATAATTTATTAATTAATTTGGTTTCTTTTTATTTTGAATGTATTTGCTATTTATATTATTATTATTATTTTTTTTTTGCCTCTAATCAGACTGCAATTGCTATGTTTATTAATTATTAATTTTTGTACAAATAAAACAATAATACATTAAACCCTGGGATTTTATACTAAAGCTAAACTGTGTCTTATTGCAGAACGTCTGTTAACAAGTTATTTTTAGATTTGTATGTGATTCTTGAATCCTTAATACCAAGATTACTATGTTACCCATATAATTTGGCTATTTACTAACTATTTCATCACAAGAGGGTTGATTCATTAAGCTATTACTGCGTGATATTAACTATCTTAGACTTTCCAAATCTTAACTCTCTAAGTGTGATCATGAGGAATGATAAAATCACTCCTTTTCTAAGACTGCTCCTTGGCCTTAAGAAAAATTATTGCCAGCCTACATTCAGACTGTTACCCAACTCGAATTTGTGATCTTAAGAGGTAAAAAAATTTTTATTTTTAAGAAAGAAAAAGGAGAAGTAAAAAGAATAAATGAAAAGTTTGTTTTGGTAAATAAAAACCCTCCAATATCAACTTTGATTCATTAGAATAAATCTTTTATCACCACCTACAGCCAGGCAAACCATTTAATTTTCACTATTCTCTTGCTAATCAAGAACATTCAAGGTACTTATTACAAGACTTACATGCTGCTTGAAACAAGTCTTATATCCATTGGAAATTATTGCTTGAGACAAGACTTATATTAATGCTTGTTGTCTTCTCGGAATAATCAACAAAAGAAGAAGCTTCTTACTGAATTGGGATGAGATTTCTTTTGATCTTGAAAAGAAAAGAAACCAGTCCAAAAGGGGGGAACACCATAACACTTTTTAATAAAAAGAGCACCTCGTCATCTTGCTCTTTTCACTATATCCAATTGCATTATCAACTTTTGTGTTATATGAGATAGGACACATGGAAATTACATGTCTTGTTACCATTTCTTGCTATGTGTAGATTAACCAGTCCTAAATTCGAGCCAATCATCATTCAAGAATTTTGATGTAACCAAAAATTCATGATCAAACTGAGATAAGCAAAGTTTTCCAGAAAAAAGTTTGCATGCTTGAAAAGATAAAAGAAAGCTTGAGGAAGATAAAAGAAGAGTTTCAAAAACTGTATCAGTCTTTTCTAGTCTTGAATCTTTGGAGAAAGAAAGGAGGATATTTTTTCTACAGATTCTTTTTTCTAACAAAGTTTTCTTGCCTTTAACTTTGTAGGTAGGTATTTCTTATATTTACTCGCAGAAATACAAGAAGTTTATGTCAAAGAAAGAAAAGAACAAGTGGGGGAGACTGTAGTCTCTTGGTGTGTGTATTGTTAATAAAAGTGTATAGACTTTATTATAAAGAAATATAAAAATTTCCTTGAAATGTCTGTTTTTTGTATTGGCAAAGGGATCAGTGAAAAGAGTGAACCTATTTTGCTATTTATATTATATATAATATATTCTTTTTAATTATTATTATACATGTATTATATATACCTAATAAACTTTTTCAAACTTTGTATTCATTAATTATATATAATGAATATATCAATATTTTATATAATATAGTATTAGATATTATATGTTGTATTCTAATTTCTATTCTAATTTTTATATTAATAATAAATAGAAAATTTAAAAATATAGTATAAATATAAATATAGAGAAATGAGTTTTGCTTAAAAATACTTTTTATTTATTATATTTTTTAAAAAATTACTAATTAATGTCTTTATCAGTTATTAGACTTTAAAAACAAAATAATATTGTTGAAATCTAATATTATTGTTAATATTAGATTTTATATAGTTTTCAAATTTTTTTTGTTTTTTTTTTTTAAAATGTTGGCTCCTCAGTGAACCTGTACTTAAGAATGAAACGTTATTAAAATATTAAGTTTTTGTTAGTTAATATTTTTATTGTAATCTTATTAAAAAAGAAAAAATTTTTTTAAAAAAAAAATATATATATATAAATGTTTTTTATTTTTTTGTAATATTTTTAAGATATTAAAAAAACTTATTTGAATTTTTATTTAAGTTTTTTGCAATTTCTAGTTTTAATAAAATAATAAATAACTTTTATTATATTTCAATTTTTAAAACCTATAAAATAATTTTTTTAAAAAAACCATTATTATTTATAATATTGATTAATTTGTTGTTAATAATTTTAATAAAGATTTTTTTGCTTAATTTAATTAGTAAATTAAATTAAATATCTATTAGTTTATATAATCAAACTATTTTTTTTAATAGTAATATTATTGTTAAATGTTTTTATTATTGTAAAGAAAAACTAAATATAAATATATTATTAAAAAATATTTTATAAGAAATTAAATTTAATTCTAATAATTTATTTTTGAAAAGTTCTGTTAAGATTTTTTTGATTTCTGGCATTGTAATTTCTGAAATTACCAACTAAAAAGCCTTGTTTAAAATAAAATTTTTGAAAAAGTATTTCTGTATTTATAAAAATTTATAAAATTTTTTATATAAGATTAAAAATAAAAAAAAAATAATAATTTTGTTTTAATTACAACTTATGAGCTAAAAAAATCTATTTATGATATTTTTTATTACGTAATGAGGTTTCTAATATAATGGAATTTTAATATTTGATATTAATATAAAAATCAATTTAAAAAATAGAAATTTCAAATAAAATTATATATAATTTTATAACTAATGTAGCATTAAATATAATAAAAAAATTGGCAATTTTTTCTGAAAGTAATTAATGAGTAATATAATTATATAATTATTAAAGTACAATATCAATCTTTAATTATTTTACGTGATTCCGATATCATCGCGCACCCTAAAAAGGAAGTTTTCTGACAAGTAAGAGTGGAAAAGAGTTTTTTAAAATTCCTATTGTTTCAGTTGTTACATCAAAAATTTTCTTGATAACCATTAAATATTTTAAATTCATAAAATTGAAATGTTGAGCATTAACTCTTAATATTATATTGTTTTAAATGTTTAATAATTTTTTCAGGATTTTCGTCAACAACGTATGGCTGAACATCCTTTGTTACCTGTTTGATAAGTAAAAATATTCGTAAAAAACATGGTTAGTCGAAATACCGGCAAATTAAAAAAACAAAAAATAATTATCTTTTTGTCTTTTGAAAAAATGATGTTATTAAATCAAATAAACTATGTTATATTTACCACGAACCTACACCAATTCATCAGTAGTAAATAAGCTTGATATCATATTAAAATACGTTATTGAGATATTAACATACCCATCACTAATAGTGATTCCAGGGCAAATAATTGCGCCGCCTCCTATCCAAACATCGTTTCCGATCTATGCAAACACGATAAATAATTAAGTTATCTCAAGAAAAAAGACTTTACATGTTTTTTTCAATATATCCTACCTTAATAGGAAATGCAAGTTCGTCACCTTTAACCCTCTCCTCCAGCTGTACAGGATGTGTGGCAACGTATAATTATACATTAGGGTCAAACATTACTCGGTCCCTAATATCCACACGATTACAATCCGTTAAAATTCGAATAAAACTATTGCCGATGTGCATGTTATAACCCTATAATTAATTTTTAGAATGTAATTAATTATCCTTCTTATGCCTTTCAGTTCTAACAAATAAATTTCTCACATAATCACAATAAAATGGTGGTTGTGGTACTATGTAACATTCATCGTCAATACTTCATAACAATTCTTTAATAATCTTCCCCCTAGTCTCATCATGCTCTTAAGTATTGAATATGCACGGTTTGTAATTATTAAATAGTTGCAATAATTCTTCAGCTCTTAATCGATCTTGGAGTAATTTTTCACAATTTGCATTGTAGGGAAGACCCATCAATACTTTCTGCTTTTCCGGTAGCCTATTAGAAACAAATGTACGATATGATCTTCCGGGGACATTTTGATCCTACTGTCGTTACACACAATATAAATTGTATTATAAAAATGGTCCTGTGACTGCTAAGTAAATTCACGTGATTGTGATTACACTAGAAATGATAAATACGTGTATACGCGCCTCTATCACATCACACCTCTTTACCGCTTATGAATCAAAACGAAGAAAAACAGGTGAGTAATTTTTCATATCCACGCTCTGATAGCGTCATAGAATATACCTATGCCCGTATGACCTGGCCATTTATTTTAGAATCCTGCAGCTGATTTTTGGAGGAGGGACTTGTAACGCCTACTAGGATCCATTACGACTATAATCTTAGATTCGTTGCAACAAACTCTTTCCAGAAATTCATTTGTCAATGCCATTACCGCGATTTCTATAGTTAATGTTATTATTATATTTCTTAGTAACTAAAAAATTATATATATATATAGTTAGATATTTCAAGTGGGGTTCGTTCCTACTTCAATAAAACAAATCTTGAAGACTGGAGTCATATTGGTTGTCTTGAATACTTAGGAAAAGTGTGTAGGCGTTTGACATCAGAAGATCGTGACGAAATTCTTGACAATTATAAGGATAATCTGCATTCAATAATCTCGTCCACATCAAGAATTAAAAGGGCAAAAGAAAGGGCCTTTAAGCTAAATAAAAATGCTCGTCGTTCATTTCAACGCCCAGAAGTTATCTTGTTTTTCAAAAGACTTGATACACAGGTACGTTAATTATTAATTGTTAAATTTGTATATACAGTACATGATATATACAGTATATCAACTTATTTGGCAGATTGACACAAAATGCGATGAATTAATCGAGACTGAATGAACTTGTGTATAACATATATGTGTGATTCTCCAAATATCGCGTCAGCGAAACTTTTCATGTCAGAAAAAACGATTCTAACTTAATTTGTTTTTTGCAACAATAAAATTTTTTTTGGACTTTCTTAGAATCATTTATCGGTTCAAAATTATTGGCGTCACAAATTGTAACGTGTAATTGTTCCTCAGGAAATTACCGCGTAACGTGTTAATGAAAATAATTTAGAATTCCAATTCTTTTTTTTTTTTGCGAAATGTATAAATATAGATAGATATCTATATACATGATAATATCTTAAACAATTTTAAAATTGATTTTTTTTTCCATAATCAAACAAATATTTATGCTTATTTAATCATTGAAATAAAAAACAATGATACGAGTATTTTTATGCATAAATTATTTTACTACTTGAATAATTATCATTGATTTTTTATCTTTAGACATGATCTTGAAAATAAATAAAGTTTTTATTTCCTTTTTTCTATTTTTAAGAAGACTCAAACTCATTGCTACCTTTGCAAAATCTTGATTACATTGGTTTTTTATTTGTCTAATAAAAATAATTAAAAATATCTGTTTTTACTATAAATTTAAAAATTTTTTTAATTAAATTTATTATAATTTTTTGTTTTGTTATTTTATTTTGAATATATTTTATTAAAAAATATTCATAAAATTAAAATTTTTTTTATTAAAAAAAGAAAATAGATAAAAGACCTATAGGTCTATAGTATAATAGTAATACTCTATAAATTACTAGAAAAAGAATTAGGATTCAAGTCCACTTAATTATAAAAATTTATTACCTTTATGATTAGTTAACTGACTTCCAATTCATGTCATATTCAATTAGTTAAATAATAAAAAAATCAATTTCAAATTTAGTTAAGTTGTATGAAAATGAGATTTCTGGTCTTTTTGATAATCATGGGCTAAAAACAGGTTGAAGCAAGAAAGGTTATACAAGAAAAGACTTCTGGTTTAACTTCGATAAAAAGCTTACAAAAAAACTTAATCCAAACTGGTAACAGCAAACTTCATTACACAAATTTCAAGAGATTAATCTTAAGCTAATCTATTTTAATCTGGAACTTGTAGATATATCTCAATTATGATGTTTTATAGAACTTAATCATATGATCTAAAGGTAAGATATCAATTACAGATAGTAAGAATTTAGATAAAAATTATTAGCTTAATGAGTCTAATGAGAATCTATAAGATTAAATCAGAATCCAAACAAGGATACCAATTCCACAAGTAGTGAAAACAATAGTATTATGCTGTGCTAGTAATATATTTCAAGAATCTATAATAATAAAGATTGGAATACTGGAGTTGATCTCTATAATAATATTTTATAATATGTCTCATCTACAATGAATACAGTTAAAACAAGACCTAATAGGTTAGATAGTTTAAACTAGTAATAGAATTTCCACCCTTTATATAAATCCCACTCAATATGTGAATCATTTACTTGATGTTTAAAGTTTCATATATTGAGTATATCAAAGTTGTAACATAAAAAAACCAGTAACTAGAAATAATTGACTTAGGTTAGCATTAAGCCACCACCATTAGTAAAAAATGAAGATGTTTAATATAATAGCTATAAACTCTTGTATAATAAAAGTCTTGTATTTAATACATGTTATAACTTAAAAAAAAAAAATTGTAGAAAAAAAAAAAATCCCAAACAAAGAGATAAATATAAAAAAACTAATTGTAAAGTTATGAATACTTTGAATAAAATTACTATTGATAGTTTTATTTAACTAAAGTATAATAATTGCACTTCCAAAAATGGTCAAGCTACTGTCCAAAATATACAATAGTACTGATAATATATTTCTTTGATAGATAATTGGTTGTGATAGTAGTATTGTTATTGTTATAATACAATTAATAATCAGTTTGTTTGTTAATAATATGATTTTGTTTTGATTGTTATTATCAAAAAAGATTTTGTTTACATTGATTAGTGTATAATATTTTGGTTATATAAATTTGTTTAAAAAATTGATAATGTTTAATTAGTTAAGTTCAAAATGTTAATTAGTTAACAGAAATAAGCTAATTATAGTTTTTTGAGTTTTTATAATACAACATTATATATTAAGTGATATTAACAAATATGTATTGGATATACTGCTGATGTCTTAAGCCAATAGTAAAAACAATATTGATATAAAGTTTGATTTTTTGAATAAATAAACAGCTTAATAAGAAAAAAAATTTGTTTATTTAATAAAAAATGTATATTAATAAGAAGTAAAAATGGAAAAAACTCCAATGAAAATTTATAAAGAAGCAACTGCTATGGACCTTTTCTTATATAATTCAAAAAAAAAACAAGAGCTATAAAGTTGTTTTTTCTTGGCCAGAGATTATATTCTAATGCACCATATGTTTCTTTAATTTTTTTAAAATTTTTGTAATGAAAATAAAAGAAATATATAAGGTTTTAAATATTGAAAAACAAAAAAAATATTTGTTTCTTTAATTTTAAGAAAAAATTACTATAAAAAATTTTTTTAAAAAAAAGTTATATATAGAAAAAAGTTTTTTTTTTTTTTTTTTTTTTAAATTGGCTAAGGGCATTAGATGCGCGACATTTATTAATCATTCGATTTGTAGTCAGTACATCAAGTATCTTTACAAAGTAGGCTATTGCTATCCTAAATGCAAATTAATACTACCTAATAATTACCGTTTCCAGTAACTCTGGTTTCCCCTAGACCAATTGCGACATACCCAGCTATACGAATTTTAAACATCAAGTAGATGATCCACACGCCAGGTGGGACTTACATAGGGGGTGGAAATCCTACCACTAGTTTAAACCACCTTCCTACTAGGTCCAGTCTCGACTGCATCCGTCGTGGGTGGGGCACATTGTGGAATATTATTATAGAGATTGATTCCAGTATTCCATTCGCTGTTATCACTGATCCTCGAGATGTAAAAAGAGTTTTTTTTTTATACTTGACTATTTATTTTTATTTATTTTTTTTTTTCAATGACTGATATACATCTTTTTTATCAGGTTATTTTAAACGCAGTATGTACAAATTCGTATTTACAAATTTACCACCGCTAATTCCCAAATAGAACTACCTAAAATTCAGATTACTTTTATTTACCGGTCAACTTATTGCCCTCCATTCTTCCTATATTACTAGAACCAGAATCCTGATCACATAGGTAAAGTGCTAATGTATCAGGATATGCACATTCTAGTTCTGCCCACCATCCTATGAATGAAAACTTGAAAAACCGTATCCTAATACAATTAGTCGTGGACTAAGCCATATCCAACAAGGAGTCTTTGTGACTCTAGTTATGGTTACATGAAAACTGGGTTGCTTCTTTTATAGTCTCGTGGACTAAAGGGGAAGGAAGCATGCTTCATGCATGAGAAATAGAAGAAATCACCAAACTTGACAATGATCATCGTAATACTGCCGGACGATTGTTATACCACTACCCTTTCTTGGTATCACAATCCTAATGCCTATTGAATCAACATGTAAATTGGCTTCTTATAGGAAACAGCGCATGTTAGGTTATGGCACCAGATATCATCTTGAGATGATCCAGTTACCTTCATCTGGAACTAAACTTGGTATCTTGTGACAGCAATCAGAAGATGCTGATCCATTTCTTCCGGTTTGAGATTTTTACATTAGCACTCTGAAGAATTTGAACCATTATCTTGTGATCTGACCTGCGAAGCACTAACCACTATATTATAGACCCACAGGTCTATACTTGACTATTTATATAATTAATATATATCTTTTTAATATATTATTATATAATACAAATGAAACAAACCTTTAAAGATCTTATACCTTTTAATTATATAAAATTAATATATAAAAAAATTTCTTGTATAATATTATATTGGAACTTTTTTATTATATTTTATACTTATATATATATATGTTTATGTTATCAATATAAATTTTTTAATATTATAAAAATAAAAATAAACAATATATATACTTTATAATTTATATAAAGCTTTTAATAATATTATTTTGATACCAGTTTGCTATTGAAATTTACTATAAATTTATATAAAGAGATTATAATTTATATATTAAATTTATTATATATCAGAACTATTTGATATTTAATTTTATAATTTTTATTTAATTATATTATTTATAATAATTAATCTATAATATTTGCTTATATAACATATTATTAATATTATAATAACATTATATATGTATTTATTAATTATTTAATAATATGTCTTAAATAAGAATTCTAACAATTTGATTTGATTTGATTTTCAATTCTTAGGTTCATAGTAAATTTAATATGTGGATTATAATCCATTATCATTTTTACTAGTATTCCGAACCTTATAGAAATCTATGCAAATCTGTTTATTCCAATTTTTGGAACTATAGTCTTAGACTTGCAAATTATTATAAACAGATCAAATATTTTTTAAAATATTAAAATTATTAAATACTATACAATTCTATAGTATAATTATAAGTTTAAATTATTATATCTAACTTGATTATTTTTATTTTTTAGTTTATATATTTATTTACTTCATTACTTTTTTTATAAACTTATTTATTTTACTTTGTATTTTATTTTATTTCATATTTAGAAATATATATATTTTTTATGTTTTACAAACCTAGTTATTATTTATATTCTAATAATATATTTATTTTATCTTATATAATATATTATATTTTATAAATTGCAGATCTATAAATGTTATTTTATATTATATAAACTTACTTACTTTATATATTTTTTCAATTTAATTTTTCATCTTATATTTTATAATTGTTTTTTACTTTATCTTATATTTTGATAATTTATTTAATTTATTTATAACATGGAATAATTATATTGATACTGTATATCAATACTATATTATATTCTAGATTTTAATATTTTTTAAATAAATTTAAAAATCTATATAATATGAAAATTCTACTAACATATAATATAATTGGTTATAAATTAGTATTCAAAAATTGTGAACCTTTTTATTATATATAGAGGATATCAATAAAAGTATTTTTTTTTTATTTGAAAAAAAAATCACAAAAAAAAAAAAAAAAACATTTATCAATTATATATTTTTCATAACAACTAACTGATCAATGTTTTAAAAAAAAACCCTTAAGTGACTTTATTTCTTACACAGCAGCATTTTCATTTACTACATCTTTGGCATCGTAAATTTCTCAATAGTATAATCTTATCATTGAATGAATTATATCATGGTTACTATAAATGTATTAGTTGAAAAATTTTTACGTAAAATTCGCAAATCCATATCGATACATAATTCAGACAGTATTTTTTTTTGATCAGATTTACATTATTACATGCACAGAATGTTACAACCCTTTATTCATTTCCCTTCAAGAAGATCAGACTTTTGCGACTTATGATTAATGCGTTTGCCAAACCTTACAGTCAGCCGCTGGCGTGTCAAGCTGGTTTGGACATATTGAAAAAAGGTGGGAACGCTGCTGTAATAAATATTCGACCGCGTCTTAATCTATTTATAGGATGCGGCCGTTGCCGTAGGTACGACGTATTCTAAGTTTCTCGAAAAGATAATTAACATTATGGTTACAGATCAATTCACATTTGTCATTATACATTTTAGCGGCGACTTTAAATGTTACAGGTATTTATTTGACATTCAAGTTCGAATATTATTTATGAATGGATCATGACGAGTTATTTGTGATGAAAAGAGCCATCATCAACGGGAATCGGGGGAGATTGTTTTTGCCTTTATTATGATGCAAAAACAAAAAAGGTTGGTGCATTAAATGGCTCGGGACGGTAAGTTCATTAATAGAAGAATCATGAAGAAAATGTATTTAGTAGAATTGACATTTTAATATTGTCCGATTTTAGATCACCTGCCAAGCTTACATTAGAGTATGTTCGTAATACACTTTGGATCTTTGAAGATAATATACTGTACCAATCATAGATATCAATGCGGCGACTGTTCCTGGTGCTGCAGCAGGTTGGGTTGACACAATTAATTGGTTCGGAAGTGGCAAACTTAGCCTTATCGAAATTTTGCAGCCTGCTATTGATTTGGCAGAAAAAGGATTCCCGGTTTCGGAAATAAGCTCCTCGATGGTTGGTGTCTCGTTCGGATAAATTTGATTCACTGCTATATATAATCGATTGATTTTAATTTGCATGACAGTGGAAGAATGAGCAAGATCTTTTGGAAAAGACATGCTATTAAACGGACGTGCACCGAAAACTGGTGAAATAATGTTTATGCCAAAGCTAGCCAGGTACACCATGAAATTTGGTTCTTTTATTTAAGATTATTTTAATGGCTTTTCTTTTTTTTTTAAAAAAAAGTTCATTTCGAGAGAGGTCGTGACGGATTCTATAAAGGTGTGAAGTACATATATTTGTTGCTTTCATACACGTTATCACACGTAGGCTTCGAGGACGACTAAAAAATAGGCTTTACTATACAGGTCGAATTGCTCAAGCTATCGTAGATTTGGTTTGATCTCAAGGAGGTGTCATGTCTTTAGAAGACTTAGCTTCTCACACTAGTACCCGTGTGGATCCTATAAGTATCAATTATAAGGGATTTACCGTTTGGGAATGCCCTCCAAACGGACAAGGTTAATAAAAACAATTTCAAGTATAGTTCAAAAGTTTGGGAAAAATTAACGTCTTTGGATATTTTATTATCTTGAATCAAGGAATCACGGCTCTAATTGCCTTAGGAATCTTGGAATCATTGCAGGAAAACGGAGTGGTTAAAGATCTTGGTGATATGAAACATAATTCAGCAGAATATCTACACGCTGTGATTGAAAGTTTGCGCCTGGCATTTGAGGATTCAAAATATTATGTTACTGACCCGGATATTTACCCTATTCCTGTAAAGGAACTTTTGTCCAAGGTTTGCAATAGAATTTTTCAATTGATATATGCATTTTAACTCAATCAAAGAATATACCTATGATTACCTTGCAAAGCGTGCAAGCCTTTTTGATCCGAAAATGGCAAAAGTTGATGTTGAGAGAGGATCTCCCGAAAACTCGAGTGATACAGTTTACTTTTCTATAGTTGACGAAGAAGGAAATGCTTGTAGTTATATAGTAAGGGATTTGTTTATTTTTGTGATCAGTGACAACAAAATTATATTTATCAAAAGATTTTATCACCATATGCTATATCTTAGAATTCAAATTATCATGGATTTGGGACTGTAAGTAATAAATTTAATGATATCAGAAACAAGTCTTGATGTTTACAGAATGTTGCATTAAATCATGACTAGGGAGCAGTTCCAGAAGACTGTGGTTTTTCTTTACACGGTCGTGGAGCTGGTTTTGTTCTGAAAGAGGGCCATCCAAATTGCTTGGAACCGAATAAGAGACCATACCATACCATCATACCATCGTTGGTTACCAAAAATCAAGATTTGTGGCTGACATTTGGCGGTAAGCTTGTTATTTGTAAACATAAATGTATTATATTTCTAATTTGGTTTTTTTTTCTTGTACAAGTGATGGGAGCATTTATGCAGGCACGTTAAATTTTTTCTAAAATTTCAACTTGAAAATATTATTTAATTTGTTTTTAAGAAATCTTTTGTTTACTATTATTTAATAGCCGCAAGGTCATGTACAAGTTCTCCTTAATCTGATTCACCATCAGTTTAATCCACAAGTTGCCCTTGATGCTCCAAGAATTATGATCGAACCGTTTAATAAAGAATCTCGTTCACTAGTTTATGCTGAAGAAGGTATTGATAAAAATGCCATTAGAGAGCTTCAGAGTATGGGACACAATTTAAAAGAAATCAAAGATTGGAAAAGATCTGTATTTGGAAGAGGTCAGATTATCGAAAGAAGGATCGATCAAAATAGTCAAATTAGAGTATGGTGTGGAGGTAGTGATCCTAGAGGTGACGGGCAAGTTATAGGATGGTGATCACTATGTAAATGTGGAAGCATTTAGTGTCAATTATTTGAGACGCATTAAATTGAGGTCCTTTGCGAATTCCGAATGTAAATCTAATTTTTTTATCATAAATAAATAATTTATGAGTCAGCATTATTTGTGACATTTACATTCCGCGGGCTAGCATTTACTTTAGCAAGGTGATGTTAGAGGGCTATAGAATCTCAATAAATATTGTTGTGGGAACAATAGGGATGGGAACGCGACAATGAAACGCGTCGCGTAACAATAGTGACAATAATGGTAGAATGATGTAATAATTGGTTATAGCATGTAACTGGATGGACGCGTTAACGAGGCATATACAGTAAATAGGATAGTTTTCCATCATTTGTAGGGGTCGGTTTGTCATAATCTATCATAGAGAGTTTAGAGTTTTGGAACGCTCTTTTACCTTCTCTCGCATTATTAAATAAATGCACAACTTTGCACAATAACACTTACATTCCATACATTATAACAGAGAGTACCACCACTAGAGTAAAGTAAACGACTTTAAGGGAGAAACACGACGCTGCCTTTTGTACCTTGAAGATACATTTGTAATCTTGAGACGCGCCTAGAGGGAAAGTCAAGAAGAGATCGACAAGTGTGAAAGTCAGCCAAATGGTAACCGCCTCAGAGTTAAAGTCTTACCTTTATTTAGTGCCGAAGTCCAAGCGTTCGGATTATCGTCACGCGAAGAGTGTGCCGTTTTAGCGAAGACTCGCCGGTGACAACAATATTCACAAAACCCAATCAATTCTCGTTATAATTTCATAGTGTTTAGGAAGTACTTTTGTAGTTGAAAAATGAATTGTTATTATTTAAGAAACATAGAATTGTGTTTACCGCATTTTATCCATATACGATATAGTAACTACTTAACTAAAATCACAGGATGCCGTATTGTACTATATTTGGATTTTTTAAAGAATATGCTAATAGCGCAGCCATTTTATTATTGAGAAATGGCAATCATTATAGTTCTATTTGTAAAAATTGACTTTTCATGTTCTTACGCCTTTCCAAGTTCACTCTCTTCAGTAATAAGAAAAAACTTATTTTTTTGATCATAAAACAAATTTTTATTATACTACTGTATACGTGTGTTGTAATTTATGATTAAATAATGGATTGATTTACGTGAAATTCATAGCGCTAAATAAATGGAGATTTCCTTCGTTCTGACAATTCACATCGTTGCGTGCGACGATTTCATATCCACCGCACAAGGAATCGACGATATCCTATTTTAATATTGTATGGCGCACCGTGTTCATTTAGAACTAGTTGATAAAACGATTGTCTGCATTTTCCTGTTTAATATTAAAATATGAGGTCTGGAAGAATCATTACCATAATTGCTGCTACAGTATATATTCAGTATATTTAGTATATATATTTTTTGCTTAATCCCTCTGAATCGAGCAAAGAATTATCAATGTTCACCAATAGATCTGTTGCTGTTTCGAACATTTCATATAAAATTGTGCTTATCATTGAATCAAGGGAATTTTCGTTAGGGGTTCAAACTATTCTGGAACTTAAACTCGAATCAATTACAGCTGAATACAAGAAACAGTGAAGCAGAACCTTTATAATATAAATTTGCGATACATACTTTTAATTTTTTTTACCATTAGAGATAAATGATATTCGCATATGTTCCCACAAAAGATAAATCCTCCTGCTTGATCATCTTGATATGTCAGAGCGAAATAAACTGATAACTACAAGATTGAAGCTTAATTTCTAATGGGACTTGTTTGTGCGCATAAATTAACCAACTTGCTTCTCACTTGGTTATTTATGATCGTAACAAATCTTTACGGAGCAAGTTTACCCAAATATGGCATTCATATTCACAGCCTTGGCATCTTTACTGACCCATTAACATTACCAGTATTCGTACGATTTTTATCCACATAACCGGTGTATTTCTCTGCTATGGTCCAATAACAATTTTTGCTAACCCCATTTAGAAGAAACTCGATAAGTTTTTAATTTGAGATTGCCACTGGTCTCCATCATAAACCATGTGCAAGGGAATGAACCAGACATGATTGGCCCTTTGAAATATTGAATCGGAAGCCTTGATAGCAAATACGGTGAAGTTGCTATGCTTGTCGAGTACACAGGCTTGAACTAAGTAGCCAAAATCAATACTGCGAATAAGGCGGTGGTAATTTAATGTTCATGGTATTTTTTGTGATTTTTGAGAATGGATTCATGCTCACTTTATACTTTTCGGAGCGCCATTCTCGTATTCATAAATCAATCTCTTATACGTGTATAGTACGAGAATAATAGTCCTTATCATGTTAACGATTTACAGAGGATATAAGAACAGACTATTGATTTATTTTAGAAATTATTCTCAAAGATTTAGTTAAAGCCCCTCATTTCCATTTGTAAGTTTATTTATAAAATGAAAGCACTGGCATTGTAACTTCACTACGTGATAAAATCCCTCCTTCATTTATACTTTATCGATGAGGGGACCTTTATACGATGTAATTATGGAACCTTTTAACCGTGATGTCTCGAGAGATAAATTGTGTCGACCGTATGGATTGCTGTGGTCTTTGAAAATATAATTGTCCTTGAATTAGGTATTAGGGAGGTTATACATTGACTTATGGAAATGTACTTCTATCAGTTTAATGCATGCAAGTTCTTAAACTATTATCGGTAATGCATATTCCTTATCTTATAGCTACTTTTAGTAATGTTTATTACTGTAATATTAAAATTCTGCTGCATGCACCTCTTCCCGCCCTTTTGAGATCACAGTCTTTGGAAACTTCCACTGCATTGCATTGTTTATCCTTGGCGGATATGTTCATGTGATGGCTCGAGAAGAAAGTTATCAAAATAACTAATTTATTGATGAAAAAAGCAATAGTTAACTCAAAAACTCTTAAATGCATGTTTACAAATTATTACAAAAAAGTTTCTACAAAAATTAGATCAATTAAACAATTTTCGTTGAATGCAAATTCAAATATATATAACACAAATAAAAATCAATGTTTATGTATGAATATAAATATATTATTAACACTAATAATAAAGACAATTAAATAATAAACAAACAATATAAAATAAAAACTACACATCAAAAGCAAATAATATTCTTATTAAAACAATTCATTTTACCTTTTGTACTCATTATTCTGTATCATTAATCATATTTAATATAATGATTTAATATTCTTTTTATATAATCTATATTATAAAATTTGGTATTACATTGGAAAATGAATTATTTTATTTATTATAAATTTATGTGACAATGATTACAGTAATTATTTAAACGAGGTTTGTTTTCTTTTATAAAATAAATTGTCAAAGGGTAATTAGTTTTAAAAATAAACAAGTCATTTTTTTTTTTACCTCAAGATTTTATGATTTAAAAATATATTTATTATATCGAAAACTGATATACTGTATATATGATGTACGTATCTTTGCATCCAAAATTAAACATATAATATCAAGTTTACCTTTTCAACTTTACCTTTTAAACAAAGATTACAAGAAGTGTCTTATTTCACATTAAATAATAGAGAAAGCTTTATAAAATTGAAAAAATTGAATACATTAATATATTTTAAATAAAAGTTATAAATAGTGAATTGCTTGTTAAAGCAATATTATAACAAAGATAATTTATAATGTTACATTTCGACAAAAAATAGGTACATTGTTATTTGAAAAAGCCTTAAATGTTATACTATGACATTGATTTATCTTGATTCAGCAAAAATTTTATTGTAAACAGAATTCACAATGTATATACATATTGTGCTGGGCTATCGGTGAGTCTGTCACTAACCGGGGCAGAATTCGCGTAACCATCACTTTAGTTTAACAACTAAAACCCAAAAGAGGTGGATTTGACTTGATCGAACTCTCTGTCTTTATTAGGTATTTTTTTATCCTTTCTATACATGTTTTAGACATCTAGATGAAAACTTTTAGAGAGTAAAAGAAAAAGATCGAAACCTATAAAACATTTAAGGCTTAAAGGTAAATGATTCATATTATGTCTTCCTATTGTTTGTCATTGATCAATCATTACCATTACAGGTTGATGCTTCGCAATACACCGGTTAAAATCGGCTATCTTCACGTCCTGACTGTTTAATTTTATCTCTTACAAAATAAATGGTTTTGATCTAATGACTATTTCTGATTATTGCAATATTATTTTCAAGTGCCTTTTCATTTCAATTGTATACAAAATTCTTTTGCAAATTTTCATTAAATATTAACATAATGTATTTATTTAAAAAATATGCGAATATGCAGCTTTTTAACATTAAAAAGGTGCAATTCAATAAAATTGTTCACCAGCGATATGCAAAGAAATACTTTTTCGCAGAATTAACCATAACAACAAATTTTATTGTGATTTGCGATTACATAATTGATTTACGTAAAATTCATAGGGGAGGGTTCTTCCCATCTGACAATTCACACCGTTGTGTCCGAGGATTCCATATTTGCTGCACAAGGAATAGATTACTTCCAATCTTGAGATTGTAGGACGCACCATTTTTATTTTGAAGAGGTTGAAAATACGGTTGACATTTATCTGCATTTTCAACTGTGATTGATATTAAAATATGTGGTTTTTAAGAATTATTGTTATTTCAATATTATGATTGCTGCTACAGTATTTTTTTTTTACTTACATCCATCTGAATCGAGCCAAGCATTATTAATATTCACCAGTGGATTCGTTACTGTTTCGAACAATTCATGTGAGATCACGCTTATCATTGAATCAAGGGTGTCTCCGTTAGGGGTTCTAACTATTCTTGAATTTAAACTCGGATCAATTAGTGCGCGAATGCAAGTAGCTGGACAATGGCCTGGATCACCGACAAAAGAATACTGCAATAATATGAGTATGAGAGAGCTGGCGAAGCAGGATCTTTACAAGACCGTGATTTTGCAAATACATACTTTTAATTTTTTTTTACCACCAGAGGCAGGGAAAGAAAAGTGATATCCGCACATGCCTCTATCGCTCTCTTCACAAAAGACCAATTCAGAATCGCCATATGCCACTTCTTTTGATGTCAAAACGAAGTAAACTAAAAAATATAAGGTAAAAAGCTTAATATTAATGCGGCTAGGTTTTACGCATGATCTTAACCAACCAACTTACTTCCTTTATCATCTTCGGGAAATCGACCATTGTGAATTTGGTTATTGATAATGGTAAACAAATTTTGACGATTTAAATTTACTCCATGGGTGGCATTCAAATTCAGACTCTTGGCAACTTTTACCGGTCCGGTAACCTTGCCAGCCTTCGTATGACTTTCATCTACAAAACCGGTGTATTCCTTTGCTATGTCCCAATAACTAGTTCCGCTAACCCCGTTAAGAAAGGATTCGATGAGCTTTTGATTGAAGGAATGCCATTGGTTTCCGTAATATACTATGTACAAAGGAATAGGACCGGACATGATCGGCCCATTTAAATATCGAATTGGTCCCGCCGAGTACGCGGGCTTAAACAAAACATTTAGGATCAATACTACGAATAAGACGATGGAAATTAAGGGCTTCATGGTAATTGATTGTTCTTGAAAAATATTCAGAAAATCAATGATATAGTAACAAGATTGTTCGCGATCTTGTTAATTATTGAGGATTGAGCCATGCTCATTTTATACTTCTTCACGGTGTACAATTCTACATTGTAGACTGGTCTACAGATAGGACTAAAAATAGTTGATTGTTTCGAAATTATTCTCGGAGTTTTAGTTCAAGTCCGAAAAACATTATTCTAGAATTCGATTCTCCCTGTTTATAAGTTTGATTATAAAATGATTGTGTTGGTATGGCGCACGTAAACTTTATTATGAGGTGAAATCCTTCGTTGAAACACGAAACTTGTTTTTTTTTTAAACACAAAATTTCGCCAATTCTCTTTATAGGAGTAAATTACCTTTATAGGATGCAATTAAGAAATTTTTGATCGTGGTACCTCAAAGAGATAAAATCCTTTGTTGAAGTACAAACTTTTTTTTTTTAAACACAAAATTTTGCCAATTATCTGGTGCAGTTGCCTTTGTAGGATGTAGTAACGGAACTTTTTGACGGTCTCCGAAAATCTAATCACATATTAACGGATAGGCAGACTCTTACACACTATTATTGATGAGATTATTATGCTCACTTTTCACAATCTTTCGAGATGGTGATATTTGAATTGTCTCGCCTCGACATTTCTTGATTTTCGGCTAATCCTTTCCTGAGTTGGTTCGAGACAAAAGATTTAAATTTAGATTTATCCCCATAAAATTGGTGCGTGTACGGTAAATTGTAACAATTTATTGTTTTCCAGTTAAAGGATAATGGCTGCATTATATCATAATTCCATAAAAGGCTAGCACATATCTGAAAATATACGTAAGTTATTTTAATTTACGCTAATTTGATAGAAACAATAAAGTAACCAAAAATTATAGTTTTCTAAAAATAAAATCCATTTCTCAATCCAATTCCAACTAATTTTAATATTTATGAAAAATAATAACTACCGAATTGTTAAAATTAAAAATTAAAAAACCATAATTATAAATTATAATTGCACATACTGTATACAGTATATTATAAACAGTTATACACTGCAGTATAAGCTAATATTGTTATTATTAATACAAAATAATTATATTTTCAATATTATAAATTAGTTATAATGATATTAATTTAATATTTAACATTTAAAGCTATCATCAATTTAATTCAAATAATAAATAATACGATTTGATTTATTTATATATTTATATATTTACATTATAACTTTTATAATTAGTTATCAATTTTCTTTTCAAAAAAAAACTTGCATTAATTATATAAAATTATAAAATAGAATATTCTATATTCAAAAATCACGAAACAAAAATATTTTATAAACTGATTATTCTTTTTTAATAAATTAATTATATAAAATCATAATAAATAAAGTATATTGCCATTTAAAATTATTAATATATATATATATTTAATAAGTTGTTACTATTTTTTTAAAAAATTATTTAACATTTTATTGTTTTTTAATATAACTATTTTGATATTTTATAAATTTAAAAATTTAATTATATTAAAATTATTTTATTATTTTTTTTTGAAGGGAAAAATGTATACAACATATAATTTTTATTGAGTTATTTATATCCAATTACATTGCTACAAGGTTCATTTAAGTTAATCCACTATAAGCACTTGTTCTTAAACCTGGACACCTAGTATGCACTCTTAAAATAAATTCTATTTTTCAGAGAAAACCTATCTAGAAAGTAAAAATTCTATTACTAGTTTTAAACCATTTAACCTATTGATTCAGCTTGTATTCAGACAGGATGTATTGACAAAACTAGCTTAAGATACCCTAAATCTTCTTTAATTACAGTAATTAAGTTAGAACCAATTATAGAAAAGAAAGTTAACAATTGGAATTGGTTAAAATATAATACAACCTAGTCTATATATTCAAAAATGTCATATTTTTGCTTATCAATAACCATTTTAACATTAATCAAATGATTATTGTATCACTATACCTTTCTTGGAGGTCACAATCTCAACACCTGCTAGATTAACATATGAACTGACTTTTTATAAGAAAAAATATATTACAAGTTATAATGTCAGATACTATATTAATACTATTCAATAATCTTTATGTAAAATTGAACTAATATCTTGTAATCTTACCTGTGAAGCATTAATCAATATATAATGAATCTATAAATTAATTATTTTATTATTTTTTTTCAAAAAAAAATTATTGTAATAAATTATTAATAAATAATTAATGTTTTTTAATAATAATTATTATAATATTCAAATATTAAATAATTTATTTAATTATAAAAATTCATATTAACAATTTTTTTAAAATTAATACCTATTTTATAAATATAATTTATAATTATGATTTATATAATATTTTACTATTGAAACAATAAATAAATTTATACTGTCATGGGTCAGGGGTCTATCAGCAGTAATGACGAAATCTTAGACTTCGTGATACTTCAACAGGGATATTTGATATAACAGGGGGGCTTAAAGACAGAAAGAGGCATAAATTTGACAAGTTTGTGTGATTTGGAGATTTTATTGGTCAGAACAGTGCAATAAGTAGGTTGATTTTAATACTCTTTTATTAACTAATTTTTCCACTTCTCTTTTCTACTATATTTTCTTATATTATTTTTATACTTTTTCTTACAGCAAAAGAAAATAAAAAAAATATTCAAAATAAAAGAAATAAAAGAAACAACAGAAATAAAAGAAATAATGAAAATAAAAGAAATAATGAAGTTGAGGAATGATTATCCATTTTGGCAACCTCTATAATGTGTGATCGTCATTTTCTTAATTTCTAAGCCATATTGTCGATCATTGTTTTCCCGTAACAATACAGTATATATTATTTTATAATTTATAATACAAAATAATCTAATAAATATTAGTTAACTTTAAAATATTTTAATAATTAATTTTTTATTTAAAATTTTTCTTATTTGATAACAAGTTTCATCAAAAAATTTTTTATTTCCAAGTATTTCCAAGTACTTTTAACTGATAATTAATTTTTAAATATGAAGTATTTTATAATAAATAACAACAAGAAGCAATTTTTATATATTATTATTTATCAAAATTAAAATAGCTCTTAAATTTATTATTTTAATTTCAATAATAATAAAATTATTTAAACAAAATTTGTAAAAATACTTTTTATTATTAATTTAATAAACTTTTTTAACTAATTTCTTATGGTTAAAAAAATATTGAAAAAATTATCAAATAAACTTTACAAATAATATTTACATTATTAACTTTATAATAAAAATAGTATTAGGGATAAAAATTGTAATGCGATGCCAATCACATAATCAATCATTATGTTGATGCCAGGAAGGACCAGTTCCTATTATGAATCTTTGAAATAATAAATAGAAATGTAAGCAATAGTAATGAAAAATAATTAGAATAGTAGTAGAGTAGTGTATTTGAGAATTAGATAATAAGGGAAGAATCGTGAAGACAATTAAATATTATAAAACAATTGTAATCGAGCATTATGTAATTAGAAAGCATCGTGAGAAGACGTTAGATAATTGATGTCACTTTTATTTTTAAAATATAAAACCGTTCCAATTAAGATGTATAAAAAGAGTAAACTAAAAAGTAAATAAAGAAAACAAATTAGAAAAATGATCTTTTGACTTGATCAAATCTTTCATGCCTTAAAGTCCACTAAGACCCCTTACCTCATTGATGGTTATATGACGTTCTGCCCATTTTAGTAGCAGACTTGCTGATTGACTGTCACAATAGTAATAAAAAATTATAAAAATTTTTTTCAAATCCATATTTTATTTTTTAACAAAAAAAACTTTCTCTTTAACTTCTAATATATCAGTGATATAATAAAAAAATAAAAAAATTTTAACTCTTTACAATAGTTTTTAAAAATTTCTTTTTTTCTTTCAAAAAAAAAAAAACAATAAATCTTAATTAACTTATTCTTAAAAATGATTTTCAATTTATTATTTTTCTTATCTTCCAAAAAAAAAACTGTTAATAAAACAGTTACAATATAATATATATATACTGTATATTCATTTATTTCTTTAATTATTATTCGAATTAGCAATTCTACAAAAATTAGTAAAACAGTTATTAAACCAATAAATCTTTTAATTTGTACTTTTCCTTATTAACTTTACAAAATCAAATATATTTTACTTTTAACAAATAATTAACTTCTTTAAAACTTTATTATAATTTAAATCTTATAGATTTCAATGAAATTAAACTTATAAATCAATTATAACTTTTTAAATTTTTTATTTTTTTTTATTTTTAAATTATATCTTTTTTTTTATTTTTGTTAAGTTTTTTTAATATTTATAAGGATTTAATATAGTCTAGAGTGTTTTAAATAATATATATAATTAGTTCGGAATATATTTTTTTTTTCAACAACTGGCGTACATCTTGTTTTATTAGGTTATTTAAACGCAGCATGTACAAATTCGTATTTATAAATTTACCACCGCTAATTCCCAAATAGAACTACCTAAGATTTGGATTATCCTTATCTACCAGTCGACTTATTGCCCTCCATTCTTCCTATATTACCAGAACCGGAATCCTGATCGCATAGGTAGAGTGCTAATGTATCAGGATGTGCGCCTTCTAGTCCTGCCCACCATCCAATGAATGGAAACTCGAAGAACCGTATCCTAATACGATCAGCCGCGGATCTAAGCCATATCCACAAGGAGTCATTGTGGCTCTAGCTACGGTCACATGAAAACTGGGTTGTTTCTTTTA